AAATATAATTACTTGTATGATTTTAATAAACAGTTCAATCTTATAATTTGTACATTTTTTATTGTTTTTGGAAATTCTCTTAATTAAGATGGCAATTAAAAGGTAATAATGACGTAGGATTTATTCAATTAATTATTGTTGAGGGGTGTAATAATAGCATTATTTTAAGGATTTTTTTTCTTAAAAATAATAACAAGTATTACAATAATTGTAGTACAATTATTGACTTTTAATTATCTAAATACTTCGCAATAAATATCGTCGTTAAAATTTATTAAAAAGCATTCTCTCAGTTCAAGATTAAGTCCTCGAAAACATTTGAATATTACATTTATTTTTAAACACACAAATTTTAAAGTGTATAAAATAAATTTATACACACCAATATGATATAATACTATAATATGATATTCTTTAAATACCCACGATGACATAAACATGGATTTATAACTTTTTGTTTGACAGTATTAATAATATTTTGAAAAATATAGCCCTCAAATATATTAGAGTTTTATTTGATTTGATCTTATTTTTATCTTCGTGTTTGTACTCTCTAATCTCAAACATTTATAAATGTGCCTAATTTGTCATGAGATGAATTTAATGACTATTGTTCAATAGATTTTGTAATTTAAATTATTGTAATAAACTTTGGTATTAAGATTATAAATTTTCGTTTATTTTTACCAAAAATAGTTATGCAAAAAGAGAAAATTAATTTAGTTCCGCGAGTTATAAATTGTTTGATAAAATTAAATGCATGTAAGCTCTTGTGGTTTTATATTAGGCAATATTTTATTCAATGTTATTTATTAAAAACTATGTCAATACCATATGTTAATACGTGAGGGGTTGAATGGGAAAACTATTAACATTTTAGTAATAAATATTATTATCAGAAAAATGACAAACCTATCATATCAATTTTTTGAAATAATGGTGAAATATGGTTAAAATATGGAATATTTTTATATATTAAAGGATAACCAAAAAAATCATCATTTAATATATATAAATACAGTTAACTATTTGTTTTTAACAAACCAATTTACGAGTAATGAATTTTGTTTCAATTACCAACTCGAGGGAACACTGTTTCTAAATAATATTTTTAAAATTTTTTTCTAAAATAATTAATAGTTTGTTGGTTAATTATGGAAAGTAAGTAACCTTATTTTAATAAAAAAAGGCACTTAATAACTGAACGTGTAGAATTAAAACATATTTTTAACGGTATTAATTATACTCTTTAATTATGAAAATAATAATTATACCCGAGATATTACTTAAGGTCAACGTTGTATTACTACTTTAACACAAGAAGGCGTCGGTCGAGTACAACACGAAAACGAGCTTTTGCCCGAACATTATTAAGTATAAAGTATGTTCGAGTAACGAAGAAAAAATTGCGTTAAAGAAATTTAATATAACGAAATAAATGAATATTACTCGAGAACTCGAGTATAATAATTTTGTGATATTAAAAAAAGTTTTAGTAATGAGAATTATCGGGCGTTTCGAAACAGCAGTCACCCAAATGAAACATATCATGTATAATGAGAAATAATTCTTGACAGTTCTCTTTGCACACAATAATCCGTTTTGCATCGCTTGTTTCGCACAAATGTAATGTAATTTAATAACGACATACTCACTTCGCGCTATTTACTAATCATTATTTTAATAAAAATGCACGCCTTAGTTGTAATATTTCATATTTCAAAGTGATGCGTAGGTATTTGTTAATAAAGCAGTATTATAATGTACACGCACAAAACAACGAGGAGGTATTTCAATGGCAGCTATTTGTTTCCAACGACAACTTAACATATACATTGTCGTAGTTTTTTACCTAAATATAATACCGCCATTTACTCGGTCTGTGCTTTTTGTATATATTATAAATTACCAGTTTCACTGTCTAGGAATCAAAAAGATCAAGAGAAACGTATTTCACTTTGCTTGATTCGCCGAATAAAACCAACATTTTGTATTAATAATAAAAACGTATACGCAAAATGCATTGTATATAAAAAACGATTTCTCCACTAGACAGTGCAGCCGAATCTAGAACGAAACAGTGCCTGATGTTGTGCACCACTGTCTCGAGTTCGAGACTATCAAAGGCGGTTTTGTTTGAGAGATCGGTTCTTAAAGTCACCATCTTTCTGCCCGTCTAAGGATTAACCACTCATCCCGGAGGAGTACCTATGGTCAAGAAATCTCCTCTTGGGGGGAGGTCATCATGACCATTAATGTGAACTTGAGCCACCATAGAAACATTTATAGATCCCACAAATTAGTCGAATTTCTCGAAGAGAGAGCATAAAGAAAAAGCATGTAGTAAAGAAGTTTCCTGACAGGTTTATTGTCTAAAATAATTAACAGGGTATGAGACTATAGGCCCTACAGAAATTTTTTTTAAGCTAAATATTTAGCAATCCAAAATATTTCATTAGACTACATATGTGTTTAACCTCAAAAACTTCGCGCTGTATTTTCACGAAAGAAATTAACATCTGATTGAATAATAAACAACACAACAAGTTTTAACACACAAAAGCTTTCACTATATTTTCTTTAGGTCAAATTATTCTCCCGTTGTTATTCAATATTTAGGAACATAAATGGCAATTATCGCTTACATACAGTTATTAAATTAAAAATTTCATAACAATTTAACCGACACAAATTACCGCTAATTTACTAGAAAGTTTTATATACGCTATTGCAAATTTTTTATTCTTTAGTTCCTATATGAATACGCTGCTCTTTCACCACTACTCGTCGACTTTAGGAGAAATCATTGTGTAAAAATTGGATCAACAACCTCCAAGGCACAACTTAACACTAACAATTACCACGCAGCCAGATAGACGTGCACAAGTTACCTGGACGCTGTGATAACATGCAATATAAAAACAGGTTTATTTTTTGTATAAATGACACACTCTTATTCTCTCGCGGCCTAGCTGTCATTTTCAAGTGAAAAAATCTATTCTCGAATTGGGTTTTGGCATAACTGCACCTTGCACGGCAGTTAAAAGTAACGAACTTGCATTTGTGTCGTCGTGCTGTAAAACTGCTGGCAACCTAAGAATTCAAAGCGTTAACGTATCGCATGATATTGCCAGTAAAACATTATTAATGCAATTTAGAAAGAAACGGTCAGCATCTTTTGAAGGGAAAATAAACTAGTTAACTCCAAGCCAAACGACTCAGCAATGTTGTGATATTTGTGCGCCCAGAACAATAAAAAGCACATTGTCGACGATTACTCGTCTAAGCGTTTGTTTAAGCCGTAAGAGTAAAACTGCGCACAAACTATTATCCTCATTACAATGGCAGGTACATTAGCGAAAACGGCAATAAATGATATTTATCGAAGCAATAAGAATATTGTTCGAGTGTTTAATGCCGTGTTAGGCCCATTTGTTTTACAACTATGAACAATAAAGATAAAAACATAATAACGACTGATGTTTAATTGACTATCGAGTAACACACGTGTGCACTTGAATAGGTATTACTATCAAATAAAATAGATATGGCAGTTGGAAAAATTCCTCTGTGGTTGTGCTTGGTCGAGATTTCCCTATCGTTATCATTGTAATGACATGAATACTTACGGCTCATCGACGAGCGTTACAATTGAACACTCGACAGAGAAATGTGGTAAAATTTAAGCACACGACTTTGTATATAAACGAGTTAATATCAATACGAACGTGGACAAACCGCTACTTGTACCCGATCGAAACAAATAAAACATACAGTCGTTTCAAAAGAGTGGAGCTGTTCAAAAAAAAAAAAACAATGGAATTATCCGTTAGTGGGGATTGCAATTTTTTATCTTCGAAGGCGATCGTATTGCAACACAGGAGTATCAATACGTGACGGCAAAAGTAATGCTGACCAAATGGTTAATACCGCGCCGGCTTTCCGGCAGTAATTAAAAAAAAAAAAAACATTAACAGATTGTTAAATGGTTCTGACCAAGGGGAACGGCATTATAACAATAAAAGCGACATCAATTATAACCGGCTCATTCGGCAGCACCAGTAAAAAGTAAATTATTGCACAACGACAATACCGTGTGCGCCTCCCTAACGTATAATGTTACAATAATTTATCATGTGTAGACACGTTTATAAACAACGTCCGTTCAGGATGCATTCATTAACACGTTTATTTCTATGCGTTATCGGGTCGAACGCCAGTTCGAAACAGACAACGTGTTTGATGGAATATCGATCATCCCTTTGTGATTCTGCTAGTCGTTCCTTTTCGTAGTCCGGTCGACTAACGTTACATGACACTATTGAGGAAGGGAAAAAAGTTCATTTCTACAGGTGGACGCTCTTGACAAAAACCACTCGAGCATTTTCTTGTTTTTTATTTCCGTGCCGAGTGCACCAATACAGTTTTCGTCCGAATGATTTTTCGAAAATATAATTTCATTCAAAGCCAAGGGAAATAAGATTACCATCACGCGTTATGAGTTTAACATTATTATGAGTATGTATTATTTTCGTTTATATCAGCGACGCGATGGTCACGCGCGGCGAGCGCAAAGATATTTTTACAGCGGGCGACTGCGACGGTGGGTTTGAGTACAGCGGGGCGGGAGAGGGGAGGGGTAGCGTGTCGCAGTCACCGGGAGTACTGTTGCCGCCGGTTCTTGATGGTCGATTATTTTCGGAACAGCTCGGCGGCCTCGTCCTCTTCGCATAGCGTTTGCCACAAACCGTCGTGACAATTTAATCGGGCCGGCAGCAGTTTCAAAAACATAAAACAATAATTGTAAACGAAGGGGTCTGTTACCGAGTTTGTATAGAACTCTGCGAGTGCCTTTCACGGCAAGCGATGGACGAAACGTACTTTTTAGGTGGCAAATTTAAGCAAAACGAGTAGCGACAACAACAAAGCAACGCGATGGTCAGACAAAACAGCATTGTGTGTTTGCACAACGTTACAGCTAAATTTTTTTGTGTACGTACCTCTCTATAAAGCTGTCGCTTGCAACGCGGCCAATCGATAACGGTATTATATATATATTACAATGATAGAAACGGCTAGATAGGTCTGTTTGGTTTTCACGGCGCGAGAGACTTTACAAAGGGAAACCGACAAATCCGATACTAGACGTGGAGACAACGAAAACGGCAGCGGATCGTCTCATAGTGTCCCGGTAAATCTATTGGTCGAAAAAAAAAACAATAGAAAACGATACAATTACAGTTGAAAACTTAATACATACGTGCCACGAGTTGTCGGTACTCAACTTATAAGTTTAATTACAAACGTAAGCGGCGTATTTATCAGAGTGTTATACGTGTGCAAATTGTCTGTGTATGTGTAAAATCTCGTGTGTTTGGTTGTTAATCGGAGGCGGCGCGTGCTTTGCTGCAGAAGTGGCACTACTACTGCACCACTACTCAATGTAAAGAGACCGGCGGCGAAAACCCAAGTGTAGTCGTGTGTGTGTGTGGTAACGGCGGGATATTTTACTAGTATAGTTTACGGCGGCGCAAGCGGCGTTTTCAACGCTCACACCCTGCCGCTGTCCCATCGGACCCTCTCTGAATAGTTCGGTCGCGCATTCGCTTAGCCCGTTCCACGACTGCCAACTGTACGATAGCGTTATCGCCGACGTTCAAATCCGAGTAAATTATTATAGTGCACAGAAAAGAAAATATCCCATGACCACTAAGCCCTGCTTATACAATTTCCAAGCACACCGTAATTATCGCGTATTGAATTTGGATTTACGGTGTTTGTTAATGTCATAAATCAATTCGTGTTATCATTCAATGAATTGATATGATAACAACCGGCCGAGAGGAGGATTTTCCTCGGAACGGATATTAAACGGTTGTGATAATTATTTTATTGTTGTTATCGCCTATTGGCGGGATAAAGCTGTCTAGACGTCGTTCGCGTGGTATGTAAACGTTGATCAGCCGCGTCGCCGCCACCGATAATTGATGCCAGCGATACACCGAAGAGTTACACGCACGATATATTAGCCGGTCATGTGGACATAACGCTTAGAGCGCACGCAACGGTTTACAATCACGTCCCCCGGTGCTCCTTTTTGTGCGTATGTTTATTTACCTCAAATTACATTCTAGGCGTTAATCCCCGTCTCGTTTCCGAACCCTCGCCGTCAACATCACCACCGGCGTCGTATTCGTCTTTGCGGTGTGAAACGAGACAGCGTCCGTGTGCGTGCGTACGAATGCGTGTGCCCCACTCGTCCGCCACCACCGCCGCCGCACCGTCAACAAAACTGTCTAGACGATACGTCACCGGGTATTCGGTAGTAGCAGCGGTTGCGTCACATTCTCTTGCCTATCACTGTCGTCGCCGCCACGTGGCGAATGTGTCCAACGGGGACGCCAATGACGACCCCGATCGATATTGTGTGTACCACGTTGTCGTCGGCGGCAGCAGTCAACGACTTCATGGTCTATTGGACACGCACACACAGCACGGAACCTAAAAGCTGCACTGGTGTAAACTAGACAGTCGATTCCGAAACAGACCATAATAAATAATGAGTGTAACCATTAGAGGGACAGGGAGGAGAAGGAAGAAGTGAAAGGCGACTGGTGCTGTGGTAATTTTTTTATAAACAACGACAAAGGACAGAATAAAAAGGAATTAAAAACAAATAGAGTGTAACCATAACGCTGTGTTTGTCCGAGCGCTGATGTACCAAATGTTTATCGTAACACACTAATCGACATTTTAACGTGGGCGTGTGCGTTCACGTGATATATTATGCGAGTCGCATATTATGTAACCAAAAATATGAGATACCAACGCCGATCATCACAAGTCACAACACACTATGCTCTCCAGCAGTTAATGATATTACACTGAGCATAACATCATTACAATACTATAACGGTAAGTAGTCCTCGGCCTCGATCGCGGCCGGTCTTGTGGATTTGACCTCCAGACCGTGGCGGTGACGGTCGCTTAGTTTACCTAATGCGACCAAGAAATTAGTGGTATCCCAGACAAACAAATAAAAAAAATTAACCTGCTGGCCAAATGGTATGCAGACAGTATGAGTCACGCAAATAAAAAAAATCGTCATGGTTTTTTTTGTAAACAAAAAATTTTACCAAATTTATCGATAGATACAAAAATACACAATGAACTTTAAAGAAAATAAACGAGCTGTGTGAAATTGTTTTACACGTTTCTCCTTTTAAAACAATGTTAAAGTTATTTACTGAAAAAAAAAAAAGAAAAGTTCGCATTATAGAAAAAACCAACAGAGTCGAGAAAAATAATAAAAAGTTCAATGATCCGGAAGTCACTAAAACTGTTGGGTACATTATATTTTTTTTCCCTCCTCTAGGCAATAGCAATAACCACGAATTGAACTGTTTAAAGTAAAAGCACAACAGTTAAAAAAATGAACATGAAATGACTGTTATTTGCAAGATGGGATTTAAGTTTAACGACTATACGACAAAAATTCAATTATTCTCTTTCACAACATAAGTGCTTTTCAGTACAATAAAAAAATACATTATCTATTTTATTCTTTTATGCACGCAATAAACACCTTGCAAAAACACTCTCACATTTTTTTGACAAATTTAGCAACAAAAAACTTAATTGATCGCTCATTTCCTCGACCAGCTTCTCGTCTAACGCATTCGTGTTTATCAACTGAGAATCATAATGGACATTAGATTAGATAGATCTTTTGATTTGTCTGCATTCTTCTACCGACCAACTCATTAAAATCAACATTCTTCATTAAGTATAACTGTACAAAAGCAATCACCGACCAGAGTTATTAATTTTATTAGTTAACTTATTTTTTTTTTATCGAAAATTCCTTTTAGACTAGAAGGACAATACTCCCTGATTTTAATGACAAAGGAGCCGCACGACCTGTACTAGAAACAAATTAGATCTTCTCGGATGATTTCAACAATGACGATAGTTTGATACAAAGCATTGGTCAAGTCTTAATCATCCTTTTATAGTTTATAAAACAAAAATAATATAAAACCAGGGCAAAATAAACTGTATTAAGTGTACCGTCGCCTTTTCATCGGACGGAGGTAAAATGTCGTCGCGTTTCATTTGCTTTCAGAAAAGTTTTGTTTTAGTTTAATAAGTACCTGTGACGTCTAGATAAGTTCTTATACCGAACGTTCTTAACGGGTCTTGCTCGTGTTTATACTTTCAGACAAACTTTTACAATTATTGTTAAGGTGCCAAAAAGAATTTCACGGGCACTACGTGCGTCAAGTTTTAGTGTCTTTTCTGATAAAGTCACACGAAACAAACCGCAATGCTGTCATAACTTTAGGGAAATACAAACATACTAAGTTTGATAAATATCTTGTGTTTGATGTTTGGCTGAACTTAGTGTAGTACATCATTTCAGCACTGATAATTAATCAAGACTGGTTAGGTTAATGAAAACAAAAATTAATTAAATGTCGATATATATGAGTATAAAAAATATTGGGAATAATAATTTGAAGAAATGTAGCACCACCGTTGCGAAATTTACAGAATGAAGAATTTTGACCACATAGTACTTTGTATAGCGAAATAATTTTAATTATTCTCTATAATAATATTAATATTATTATATATTGACATTCAGAGCACTGGGCAGAAATCACATCGCGTCAACATCCATATAATCAATATAATTAAATGTTATACAATAATAAAGTTATCTTTGTATGTCGAATATACATTATTGTTTGTGTATAAAATGTTTAAATAATATAATAACATTATAATCACTTATTTAAAACAAACAGATACTCCATAACTATGTAATTATAATAAGCCAGACTACAGAAACAATAATTATGTCATTTGTTTCTTGTACAATGATTTTCGCATAATGATTAAATGTCTGTGAAAAATCTTTAACTGACAGAACCGGTTGATTCATTTGAAAATAATATTTGGTCGTTGTGCTACTAAAATATCTTAATATTAATTCAATGTAATTTACTCAAATTACTCTAATCTGAAATTAATATTCGTATTAAGTACTTTAGTAGTGTAATAAAAACAGTTGAAATACATTTGTTTGCATATAAAATAGATTAATTTATGCATCCTCCACTCGGGTAGTCTCATTATATATATATATATATATATGTGTGTGTGTGTGAGTGTGTAATTAGAAAAGAAAAACAGAATTCATAAATTGGAGTCCCATAAAAGTAAGTATACCAAGACAGGCAAACGAATCAAACCAGTCGGACCGGAAATTTTTTCTCTTGCAACTTTGACCAAAAATAAAGAAAAAAATGACTCTTTTTAGACAAAATTTAAATGCGAACTGACAGAACCTAAGATTGGATATCTGTCAAACAGACCACTGCTCTTTAATCAGTGTAATCATTCAGTCGTGATGAAGTTCGTATATTAATCCAATCAAAAGATTATTACTTTTATTTCTTATTGCTCTTTTCTACTTACGTAAAGTAATAATCTAAGCAAGTGACACAACTTATGTGATATTAAACAATTGAAAGATTGAAAACTAAAAAAAACATTGTTCATTCGTCTATTGTTGCTTGGGCAAAGTCTATAATAAAATCAAAAATTCCCAGATAGAAATGTGTTCGTAATTATTTTTACTTTGATTTCAGCTTATTATCTTGACCCGTGTCGATTCATTAACATTTCACTATTAAAACAATATTTCTTGAATTCGTTATGTTAAAAATTAACGATTATATTTTGGAAAATCAAACGGTATTAAACAGTTTTTTGATAAAATCTTCAGCCTATTTATTCAGTTCAATAGTCAAACATTGAGACACATTGAATGAAAAAAAATTTAGAACTATTGAAAATTAAAAAACAAATCATGAAGTAATTTAAACGGTATGTAGTTATATTTTTAAACTACTAAAAATGTAAGTAGTAATTTTCTATTTAAACAAAAACCTTTTACAAGATGCATTATTGCTATAAAATAATAATTGAGTAGTAACTATAAATACTATTATAATCATTTACGTCGAACCAATTTTTATGCACAGAACTAAATAATACAATCTGAAAAATACAGTTGAGATGGAATTTTGAAAAAAATTGTACTTACTGTAAATTTTTATAATTTTGATTTTATTTGACGTGTCAAAAAAATGTAATGTGTTCAAATTATCATAAAATCATAATAAATAACAACAGTAATTTCTATAATTTAACGACGATGACATCGTTGGTAGAGCATCTAATCGGCCATGGAGTAATATTAGATAACTTACCTTATCATCAGATAAATATGATTAATATTATTATTAACAAATAGCATCGACGATCATTTCTTATACGAGTTAAATTTTGTGCTAAATATATTCTGAGTGCTAAGAAACCTAAAAATTTGTGGTGAAAAACTTAATTTCATATTTATATAAAAACATACTC